CTTAGCTGTAAGTTGCAAGCTGCTTCACACACTTATTCTCCTTGAACCAGTTTAGCAAGTACATGTAATTTTTTGTCTTCTTTAGATCATGTTATTCTGACTATAATTTTTTTTCAAACCTTTGAACTCCTTTTCATGCACTTGATTTTTCAATTTTTACTTTGAACATCTTCATAAATATAAACGTTGAAAGGCAAAATAGGTAGTTACAATTCCTCCATTCTAGATTCAGCAGTTGTTAATATGTTGCTACATTTGCTTTATATATGTTTGCATATGTTCTTTGTTCTTGAATCAATTGAAAGTAAAATCCTGTTATTACCCTTTAACACTATATATCTATCTCTTGACATTCCTATATAGTGACATTATTTTTCTAAGGGAAATTAACTGGAATTCTATAATATGTTCTCTTTAGGCATATTCCAGTTCCTTTGCTATTCCAAAAATATTTTTACATATTGCTTTTTTGTTGTTGTTGTTAAATTGAAGTACACTCAGATTTTCTTTCTTTTTTTAATTTATTGAGCCAGGCTAGTCTTTTTCTAATCTATGAATGTGTGTTTCTATTCAGGACTCTTTTCATTCAACAGTGTTTTGTAGTTTTCGGAGCTCTTATACATCTCTTGTTAAATTTATTACTAATATATTGTTTTTGATGCTGTCATATGCGATAATTAAATTTTTTCTAATTTTTTGTTGCTATATTATATGGAGAAATTTACATTGTATGTTCACTTTATACTCTGAGATCTTGATATGTTATTAGCTCCTATAATGCTTTTATAGATTCATTTGGAATTTTTGGTATATAATCATTACTTTCAGTTTGTCTTACTTTATTGACTAAGACTTCCTGTATAATTTTGAATATAAATGGTTTTGATGGACAACCTTGCCTTGTTCCTAATCATAGGAGGAAAAAAAAACACAGTATTTTCCCAGTAGGTATGATTTAGCTGTAGGATTTTTTTTGTTTCTTTGTTGTTTGTTGTGAATTTTATCTGTTTGAAGAAGGACCCTTTTATTACTGGTTTGCTTAGATAAGTATCTATTATGAAGAGATATTGAACTTTATTTTATTCTTTTGACTGAATCTGTTGCAGGTGAAAAATGATTTTTCCCCTAAAATGTAATAAAAATTCACTGATATTTGAATGTTATGCAAATCTTGCATTTCTGAGCTAAAAGCCAGTTTGACCATTATAATACTTTACATGTATTGTTGGATTTAATTTGCTTATGCTTTGTTGAGGGTTTATGTGCATTAGGGTTGTTGCTCTGGTTATTTTTATTTTTCATATATGTTATCATTTTCTAGTATCAAGGTTATTCTATGTTCATACTATGAATTAAGAAATGACCTTCCTCTGCTTTTTGTTTAAGGTGGTATTATATAAATGATAGAATTCTTTATTGAAACCATCTTAGCCTGGAGTTTTCTTTGTGGAAATTTAAAAATTTCATACTAAAATTTTTTTTTTCTTGAGTAAATTTTGGTACAGTGTCTATGTGGTAATGTCCCTTCTTTATTCCAGATAGTGGTGATTTGTTTTTTCTCTTTTTTTTTCCTTGATTAGTCTGCATAGAGGAAAAACTTAGCAATTTTATTGATTTTTACATGCAGTGGGGTTTCTTCACTAATTGATTTTTACATGCAGTGGGTTTTCTCCAGTGTTTTTTGTTTTGTCCTTCAATGATTTCTACATCTTTGTTCACTTTTCTGTACTTGATTTGTCCTTAATTTGATCATCCTCTTAGGTTTTTAAAATAGATCAGAGACTTTTAGATCTTCTCTTATATAATGTGATCATTTAATGCTATAAATTTTCTTCAATGTTCTGTTTTAACAGCATCCTGCAAATTTTGATTTTTTGTATGTTTTTTTTTTAAGATTTATTTATTTGTGCATACAGAACTGGGGTACAGGCCAGAGGCACAGGGGCATTGAGAGGATTCACCAGAGACAGAGTGGGGAGCAGGACAGGCAGATCGATGAAGTACACTGCTGAGGGGAGCAGTGGGCAGGTTAGGAGAGGTCTGCCACACCATGTGGGTCACCTCCCGGGGCAGGCAGGGATCGAACTCATGTGGAAGTGGCTTTCGATTCTTAGTGCTGCACTTTAACCCGCTGCCCCACCAAGGAGGGCCCTTTTTTTTTGTATGTTTTTATTTGTACTGTCTGACATATTTTCCTAAAGCCACTGTCTTGTAGTTTTAACATCTGAGTCATCTCTTAGTGTGACTGTTGATTGCTTTCTCTTTAGACTTTTTGTGTGTATTTTTTCCTTTGTTTTGCTCTTTGAAATGTCTCATGATTTTTGGTTATCTATAAAATAGTAGAGACTGAAGTAAAGAGTTTTAAGGTCTGTCAGTGACATGCCTCTTCTCCTGTGTGACTGTTAATGTGGGGGTTTAAGTTAATCTAGTGTGGAGTTAAACTGCAATTAAGTTTTTAGTTGCTTATAGTTACTTTTGTTGTACCAGAGGTCACAGATATTTTGTTGTGATTGGGAAGTAGGTGAAATGTCAAACATTTTCCCTCAGTGTTTGTACTCTGTTTTTCATGTCTACTCTTTAAGAGGGCTTTTCCTCCACACTACTACCCCTCTTCTGTGGTCAACTAGTATTCCTTGTTTCTCATTCTTTTCAAGGTTGGTAAAGAAAAGGTGATAGCAAAGGTCCTTTGTTATTGTGATATATAGCCTCAGTCATAGATATATCATGTGTGCCTGAACCTCAGAGATGGTGCTTTCTTCTTTCCCCATCTACCCTACACACCCACCATGTCCCTAGTAGCGGCACTTTGGGACTACTGATAACAAGATTCTGGCTTTAGGACTATTCTTTCCCCCCTTCCTCTAATTGATTGATAATTTTTCCCTCCTCCAGGGAAAAGGTATGGAAATGGAACTGCCCCTTCTTCAGTTGCTTACAGTTTTGCTCTTTCTATATAAGAGACAGGATGGCAGAATTTGTTCTTCCTTACAGTGGCAAATAATTCTTGTACTACTGAGAGGCTCTTGATCTTCTGCCTAGTTCCACTCATCTTCATGGGCACCAGAGGAGGTCTTTGGAAAGAGTTTGTGAATGAACCAGGACTCCCAGGGATTTTAAACTGTCAACTTATTCCAAATTTTATTTTAAACTATTTCTCTATTTCAAACCATTTCTGACAATTTCAACTCATATCTTCTTCCTTGCTTGTATGACAGTGTTTACTTCTTCTTGCTCTGCCACAGGAGATCCATTTCTGGCATCGCATTTCTCTTTGGAAGTATCTTTCCTTCCTTGAAATTCAGGACACTTGATTATCTTGTGACTTAAGCGCACTGATGGAGGTGCTTGGGGGTAATTTAAAAGTGTTTTTGTTTGTCAATGTTACTAGGATTTTCCAGTTATCTTTTTGTTACTTTTAGTTTAATTCTATTGTGGTTAAAGATCATACTGTGTATATTTTAGACTCTTTAATTGTGTTTATTAAGACTTGCTTATGATCCAGATTTGGTCTATTTTATTTGTATTCCATGTATATTATGCCGTGGAATGTATGTGACAGTGGTATCAACTTGGTTGAAATTGTTGTTCAAATATATTTATTGATTTTCTCTATTTAAAAAAATTAGTTGCTAAGAACATTATGTTCATATTTCCAGCTATGATGGTGGATCTCTCTAGTATCCTTCATGTACTTTTGATAAATTAATCCCTTTATCATCAAGAAATGTTTCTTTTTCCCTTCTGTAAATACTTGTCTTAGGGTCTACTCTAAGAGTAGCGTCAGTTGCTACTTTCTTCTGAGGTGGTTTGGGTCTTCCCATCCAGTGTAAGAGTTGGCCAAAGGTGAGGGAATTTGCATACAGATTTTGGGGCTTAGCTGTCTAGATTCCTTTATATTTTCCTTTTTCACCAGCTACATTGGCAACCCCAAACTTTGACCTGATTTCTCTGTCTGGTAAGGTGGTGGTTGTTTTCTGCCAAGCTGTGTCCATGGGAAAATATGTGGATCTCCATATGTTCTCTTTCAAAAATTGCATCTAATCCTATTTTTGCCTGCTTCTGGTTGATCTCTAGCAATTTAAAATAACTTAAAAAATATATATATAAAAATCCAGATTTTATAATCATTTTATAATTGTTGTTTTCAGGAAGATTAGTCTGATACAAGGTATTCTGTATGCCCAGCTCTTTTGTTTTCTGGAGAGTGCTGACTGGTTAGCCTTCCTGTAAAATTCTTATAATCAGAATATTTGTCTGATTATTCTCTCAAGATAATGTTTCACTTATTTCTCTATCCCTTGCATTCTTTGTAAATTGGAATTTAGAGCGAGACAATTAGTCAAATTAAAATTTGTTTCTTGTAAAATAGATTATATCTGTACTTCTAGTTATAGCAGCAAAACATTTTATTTCATTATTCTACTATAGGGTAGGTGTAGTTAGATAATTTAGTTATGGTAGTGCTCTCCACCATAAAGATTTACTTTTTTTTTTTGGTTGGTACTCTTTAGAGTAGTAATTTGTACTCTTGTCACTTTCCACATCCTACCAAAATGTCACCTCTTATTCTAATCAGATGTCAGTACAGAGTGACAGGTAATAGCATTGTCATTTTTATTTAAGTCTCAGTCCTCAATCAAAAGGTCTTTATAGTTTTGTAAAGCATATGTTTGTGTGTGTGTATGTGTGTGTGTGTATATATGTATGTATATGTAATCTAAACATTAGTGGTATATATATATGTCATGTTGTATGATAGTTACATAAATATTTCTTTTTTATTGGATTTTGAGTTATTGACATCACATCTTATAAATCTTCACATTTTTCATTGCATTTGACTAAAAATTTTCATGTAGTAGTAGGCACTCAGTAAGCTATTTTTTTCTAAGAATAGTAATTAGCTAAGAAATTAAGCTATTTTCTATTTAAATATTTTTTAGTGTCTACCTTAGGAATTGATAATTTAATGCTAATTGCATTTTAATTTCTTTTTGTAGGTAAATGAGAAATCAGGACAGATTATACAGTATGACAAATTTTATATACATGAAGTACAAGAATTGATAGACATAAGGAATGATTATATCAACTGGGTCCAACAGCAAGCCTATGGAATGGTAGGTTTCCTATTGTATTTTATTATATCATTTTTATGTATTGTTTGTTCTAATGCTAAAGAAACACCATTTTTTTCCAGCGTTAACTTCTGAGTAAAAACACATTGCATGACATAGGAGTAATTATGTATTTTGCAATATTTATAACTAAAAATTCTATTCCCCAAAAACCAGGCCAAATAAATGTATTATACTTTCTGAAAGAAAGCTGCAAATGTCAGATGGATTTTTGACTTTCATTTATTTTCTATTTAGGTTGCCTCTTAAGTTTCTGATGTTGAAAATATTGGAGTTACTGATGGTGAAATACTAAGCATGTATTACTGTTGTGACATCAGTATTTTAGAACTACCAGAAGGGAGCATTAGCACAATTGATTCTATTTTTTATTTTTCTCATTTTATGTTCTTCACTTGTTCAAGATTTTTACCACATACTCACATATCCATACTTCTTCCTTTGTGGCTAGTAATTAGAAGCAGTGTTTCATTAAAAATAGCAATATAGTCTCATATAACTTAGGCATGACAGATTTTAATATACAAATAGATAAGTAGCTGGATATAAAATAATCAGGTTTAACATTCCTATTTGGTAACTATTGCATATTTGAGGTCATCTTTTCTACATCCCATTTAAGCAGTGTATATCTATATATAGTTGTAGTAGGGTAAGTAACCTTTAATTCATTTCAAAGCACCATGGCGTTGTTCTTAGGTATTCTGCCATTTCAACAATACCACCAAAATTATCTGTAATATATCTAGTAGGCACTAGTGGTTATTTTTGAATAAAATTTTGAGAAATAGACATATATTAGCTAATAGCATGCAGAATATTAAGAACTAAAGCATGTACCAAGGCTGGTTGGCTTATTTTTAAACATGGGGAAGGAATTGAATATACAAGTCTATGAAGCTAACAGAACACAAGTTTACTTAAATGCAGTGCAACCTACACCAACATATGTAGTAATGAAATGATTAGGATTTCAAGACAAAGGTTATTGAAAGCAGCTGAGAGGAAAAGCAGGTAACTTATAAAGGTATTCCCATCAGGATTTCATTAAGCTTTTCAGCAGAGACTCTGTGGCTCAGGGGAGAATAAAGTGGCTTATTCAAAACACTTCAATTTAAAAACTGCCAACTACAGTCCTCCCTGGTGGTGCAGTGGGTTTAACACAGTACTTTGGAGCTATTTGCAGCCACTGCAGCATGAATTCGATCCCTGGCTAGGGTGGTGACCCACATGGTATGGCAGACCTCTCCTGACCCATCCACTGCTCCCCTCAGCAATGTATTTTAGTAGCTCTGCCTGCTCTGCTGCCCACTGTCTCTGGTGAATCCTCTCATCACACCACCTCCATGCCTCTGGCCTGTACCTCATTTGTTGTACGCATAAATAAACAAATCTTTAAAAAAAACAAACAAAAAAGAAAACTGTCAATTAAGAATCCTATATCCTGCAAGACACTCTCTCAAATATGGAGAAATAAAAAGTCTTTACAGGCAAATAATAACCAAAAGAATTTTCCAACACCAGATCTCCCCTACGAGAGCTGTTGAAAAAAACCTCTTCTATCTAAATTGAAGAGAAGAGCGTCTACAAACAATTGAACAAAGAAATAAATAGAACCATAGAACTACAGAAAAAATGCCTGTAGCAAACCTTTATATATCAGTCACCCTTAATGTAAGGTGAACTAAATGCAACAATTAAAAGACACAAAATGAGTGAATGGATTAAAAAACAATACCTACTTAACTATGTACTGCTTATAAGAGTCTCACTTAAACTATAAAGAAAAACAGACTCAAAGTTATGGGATAGGAACTGATACTCCATGCCAATGAAAAATTTGAAAAGGCAGGAAAGCTTTACTTACATCAAATAAAGTAGACTTCCAGTCAAAAAAAAAAAAAAGCAAGATCATTATATAATAAAGGGATCAATATCACAGCAAAACTTAAACATTTCAGCACCTATGCCTCTAAAATAAGATCACCTAAATATATAAAGCAAATTTTAACAAACTAAAGGAAGACATTGGCACAACATATTTAATCAAAGGAAGTAAAAGACTGTACAATGAAAACTATGAGAGCTTTTGAAAGAAGTAGAAGACACAAAAGTTGGAAAGGTTTCCATGCTCATGAAAGAATCAGTGTCATTAAGTGACTATATTATCTAAAGCAGGATAGTACAATTTCCATCAAAAACCCAGCCACATTCTTCACAGAAATAGAACTAAAAATCAAGACCACAAGTAGCAAAAACATCCATAAGAAATGGAGGTAACATACTCCCCCAGCATCAATCTATATTGCAAAGCAATAGCAATCAAAATAATTTGGTATTGGAATACAAACACTTGCACAAATCAGTGAATATAATTGACAACCCAGAAGTAAAACCACATCATGTGGACAACTAAATACAAAAAAAGAATCAAGAGCTTACAGTGAAGCAAAGAAATTTTCTTCAATAGATAATGTTGGGATAGCTGATGTCATATGCAAAAGAATGAAACTAGAGCATTGTACACAAAAATTAACTCAAAATGAATTGAAGACTCAGGTACAGTACCTGAAACTATAAAATACAAAAACTAGGTGACATGCATCTTGAAATCATCTTAGGGATGTGTTTGGGACTTCAATGGCAAAGTATACAACAGTAGAAACAACGGATTACATTAACTAAAAAGTGTCTGCACAGGTAAAGAAACTGGCTTCAAAACATGAAGATATCCAGTGAAGAAGCTGTTTGTACATAATATGTCCAAACAGTTTGCACATCATATGTCTAATATTAGTACTGTATATTAATATCCAATATATACAAATAATTAATAAAACTGTACAAAAAAGAAAAAAAGCCTTATTTAAAAATGGGCGGATGATCTGAATAGACACTTCTCCAAAGAAAACACAGGTGCCTTATAAGTTTTTCATCACCTCTTACTAGAGAAATGCAAATGAAAAGAACAATGTCACTTGCACCTATGGTGATTACATATTATTATGTATAAGATGAAAAGTAACAACTGTTGGAGAGCATGAGGAGAGAAGAATATTGGTTAGAAGTGATATAGTTATTATGGAAAACAGTTATGGTGGTTCCTCAAAAAATGAAAAACAGAAATTTCACATTTTTCAGCTATCCCACTTCTGGATATTTACCCAAAAGATAACAAATATTAATTCAAAGAGATAAGTGCACCTTTATATTTATTGAAGCATTATTTGCAATAGCCTAAAGCTAAAAACAACCTAAGTCCCATTGACTACAAGTGGATAAAGAAGGTGTGGTGTCTATATACAAGGAAATACAACTAGTTAAAAAGATGAAATACTACTGTTTGCAATAAATTTGATGGGCCCAGAAAGTATTATGCTTAGTGAAATAAGTCATACAGAGAAAGATATACTCCCTATTCTTTCATTCATATTATGTCATATATAAACAGATGTGTTTAATAAGACAAAAATAAACTTTTGGGCTAGGGTCCAGTTGGTGTTTATTTACCACAAGGGACTGGGGAATGAAGATGGGTAAATCCAGACAAAGGGGACCAAAGTATAAAGAAGAATAGAATTGAATGTTTAGCAGTTATCTTATTAATAGCATGTAGATTCTTACTGATGCAAATCTGAAACATAAAACTTTATACTGCAGTGTTACTTCAATATACTATTGGATGAGGATCTTGGGTTTTATCTGAAGTGTTAGGATAAGCCATTGGAGGGTAGTAAGCCTGGAGAAATGTATATGCTTTATATTTTTAAATGATTGTTTTGTTGGCTGTGGAGAATGGAGTGAGGAGAATAGAACAAAAGTAAAAGAGGGAGACTAGTTCAAAGACTAGTAGATTTGTGGAGGGAAAATGATGTGTTTGACTACATAATAGTTGTATAGATGGAAGAGGAAAATGGACTTGGAATATCTCTTCAAGGTAAAAGGGACAAACATTGCTCATAGTTAGATACTAACTAGGTAAGGAAAGGTGAGAAATACATGAGAGTTAAAGAAGGCATGAAAAAACAGAAGATCTTAGAATGTTGTGGAAACCAAGATTTAAAAAGGATAAAAAAGGGACTATTGAGAGCTGTTGAAAAATAGAGTAAAACAGTAGACTAGAGCAAAGAATTTGGTTACATGAAGATTATTGATAATGTTGTTTATGCCAGTGTAGAGTAAATTATGCTTAAGAAAATTTCTGATGGGCCAAAACCATAGGCAATAATTTCAAGAAGTTCTGCATTGAAGAAAAGAAAAAAAATGTTGTGCTGAAGTCAAGGGACAACAATTTTTTTAAGAAATAATGTTTCAAATTAATAGTTCCTTTTTCCATTTCTCTTTCAATTAAAATTTTCTCTCTCTTAGGCAAGACTTTTCAAACTCTTAATTCAGAATACTCCTAACAGCAGGGGAAAAGTCCCATTACTTGGTCATTAATTTCTCTTGGCAAAACTTGTTTGATATTTCATATTTGATCTTTAAATGAATGTAAATTTTGGACATAATTGTTTAAAAGTTTGGCATATTTATCCTCTAGACTCCTCTTGGTAATATGGCAATGGTGGTATCAAATTTCTTTAGAAGCTATTTTAGTACTTTTGTTGCTTGATAAGAAAGAAGGAAGCAGTAGAGAACCACTTTCTTTTTCTAGGTTTTTCTTCTTTGCTCCTCATTCACACCAATTGTGTTTTTTGGTTGCTACATTTCAGTATTGCCCTCTGTTGCTTTTTATTCTTTCAGTAATGTGCTTTTTCATTTATAGAATGTATATTAGATAAATTAATATTAAATACCTTTTGGCAGTGGATGCTTGTTCATTTTTAATTTGCAAAGCAGGCTTTAATGTATCTTAGAAATCAGGATCCATAACCCATGATAAGGTTCTTAATCTACTCTGGGACTTGAAGGACAGCTGTCTACTTTGAATTGTAAGAAATGCATCTATAGACTATATATTATATAATCTATACAAAAGATACATTATATATCTATCTTTTTCTAAGCACTACAGGGAAAATATTTTACCTTTATTAACCGTATCTTTATGATATAATCTGTCTCATTACTTAAGAATAAAACCCATTTCCTGATTAAAAAAAAAAAACTATAGCTATCAAGAAGGCAATAAATAGGTAGTCAGAAAATTTGAAAAAGTGTTTCTTTGCTCCCAGCTTACAGTAATAACACTTTTAAAATGTTCCATAGGTCAACTGTAAAAGAATTTCAAGTGTTTCTATTAAATTGCTTTCAAATTAAATTGGGTATAATAAACAGCTTATTAATACACAGATTAATAGTAAACTAGAGGAGAAGTGTGTGGGGTGGAGTCTGGGAAAAATGCCAGAGGCAGAGTTTCTGTTTTCCTCTTACTGTGGAGTCACAGAGAAGGTACTTTTCTAGTATCCATGTGTTGCAGTACTTACAGAGTATTGCTAACCAAAAAAAGCTCACCAGTGGCCCTCCCTGGTGGCACGGCGAGTTAAAGCATAGCACTAAGAACCTAAAGCCACTTCTGCATGAGTTGGATTCCCACCTGCCCCGGAGGTGACCACATGGTGTGCCAGACCTCTCCTGGCCTGCCCCCTGCTCCCCTCAGCAGTGTACTTCATAGATCTGCCCTCTATGCTCTCCATTCTGTCTCTGGTGAAGCCTCTCACCGCCCCTGAGCCTCTGGCCTGTACCCCAGTTCTGTATGCACAAATAAATAAATCTAAAAAAAAAAAAGCTCACCAGAGCCTTAGTTCCCAAAGTTTTTATTAGGGCTTGATTACATATTGTCAAAGTGTTTGACCTTTATGGTCTCCCAGCTCTTCTAGAGGCAGAGCTAATGACATAAATCCACAGTCCTTAGGAGGATGCTCCTGTAAGGCATGATATAGTCCAAAGACCTCTAGATATCACCTCCCAGTAGCTGAGAATAAAACCATACCTCTCTTTGGATAAGATTAATTTCTCACTATACAATTTACCATCTGCAAATTTAGTAACATTTTTGGAGATTATATCACTTTATGTGAGTTTGTATGATAAGAACATGTGGAGCTTTCAGTAAGAAAGTGTACCTGTCTCTTAAAAGAAGTGGTAAGGTTTCATTATTTCCATCATAAATATTTCTTTCTTCATTTTGTCTTTCTATTTACCAAACCCTGCCCTGCCCTGTTCTGTTTTAAGATAATTCAGTGTTAAAGAACCCCTAGCGTAAGATCCCTTATGTTTTATTGGTTATTTTTGATGAATAAAAACAACTTATGGCTTATTTTCCTCACTTTTTAGATTTTGATCTACTAGACACTTTCAAACATTTTGTCAGGAGTAATCTAGTCTTAAAGTGTGAGGAATATTTTCATTTTCCAGGTAGGAAACTGAACATAAAGTTATTTCTTCAAGACCAAATAAAGGGTTAATTTTCTTACACTACCTAATTTCTAAAAGTGGAGTGCTTAGTTGCCCAAACCAAATTTGTCATGTTCAAACCTTAAAAAGTTTATGATTATCAGGTACTTAAAACTAAGGTCTTAGGTATATAACAAAAACAAGATGCATGTAGAAAGGGCAAGTTTTATTGTAGCTGTTTTTGGTAGAATTCATTAATTTAGTGTTCTGCTGTAGCATAATATATGAAATGCTACTTTGAATAGAAATAGTTAAATTTGGACACTAATCTTGCTCTTTCCTCATTATTGTTACATTCTGCATTGCTGTCTTAGGATGTCAACCATGGATTAACAGAGGTAAGTTTGGTGTAATAAAGTCTATGTTCAGAGTAAAATGTACTCTATATTGTCTTAACTGATAGGAGAAACCAAGGTTTCTCTTTTGTGTGACTTGAAAATATATATGATTACTTTTAAAATGATTAAATAGATTGTTCTGCATAACATTTCAGAGGAATCTTCTGAAGAAAATGAAAATAACTTTTAGTAAACATTACACCTAAATGATACCTTTCAACAGTATTTGTTTTAAAATAGTTCCTAATCTCTTAAGTTTCCTACAATAAAATTTTAATGTTATCAGTGTATAAAATAGCAGATTTCAAAACCCTTTCAGTATGATTACCTTCCTTACTTTTCTACTATCTGTTAAGTTGTAGCACTGTGGCTTACATAATCAATAACCCTAAACCATCTATCTTTTCAATACATGGTAGTTTTATACCACTTTTGTTTATGGAATTTTGGTTTTATTATTTTGTTTTTCTTTAATTTTTCCCCAGTTCTTGAACCAACAAAGGATGTAGTTAGCTTTAAATTAAAGAGCTAACATTTTTGCTTCCTCAAATAGGAATAGGACATAAAATTATAAAATCACAGAGTTTTTGGAACCATAAGAGACTTTAGAAATATTTCAGTTGTTTTTGGGTTTGAATAGTAAAATGACTTACACCATTGATGGCTAGCTAGTGACACAAATATAGAATGGTAGTAAATGTTATTATGTGGAATTCACTATGAGGTTAAATATAGTGCAAAATAAGTTGTAAACATATATAGTTAATAGCCTAATTATATTCTGTACTGATAGGGTGCTATTGTTTTGCTTGGTTTTGGAGGTTATTATTAATACAGTCCTAGATAAATAGAAATATATTTAAAAGAAGGCAGTTAGAATGGAGAAGAGCTGAAACATATGTTATTTTCAGGATGACTAGAAAACTGGGAATGTTTATTGTAGAAAAAAAACAATAACTTAGTGAGAGCAAGAGACTTAAAATATTTAAACTATATATACTTCTTGCGCAGGCAAAATGAGGACTGAAATGCAGAATGGGCTGATGCATATATGTATAAAGATACAGATTCAGAAAATGTAGAGGACTTTCTCCATACTTAAGGAGGGAGTTATTTCATGAAAGGCTTCGCTGTAAGACTTATTGCAGAGATTCTGTATCAGGGTTGGCACAAAATTATTGTGTGACTAGCATAAAAACATTACCTTGTTGGTAGCAATATATCCTTTAATTGTGAGACTCAGTGCCTGACAATTCACAGCTTTTGTGTCTTCTGTACTGTTACTTATCACTGCATTATGTGCTTAGGTAAATATTTATAAGGTGACTAATATCTGATAATGGTAATAATAAATCAGTTTTACCACCTTAAGTGTTTAACAGAGAGTAGTATAAGTAGTGCTAGTTTGTATGATAAATTATTAATAAACACATTGTTGAGCTCATAATGTTGGCACCCTAATGGTGTGTAGTATTTCTTAAATGAATGATCAAACATGTTACTTATTTTATGCCTCAGTTGATAGTTTTTGAAAATGTAAAAAAATTGGGTACAGAATTATCATAGGATGCCTTGATTTTATAATAAATTTGTAACTTAAGTCATTGAAGCTTAGAATTAATATATGCTAGACAAAATATACTTGTAAGTTACAATTTTATGGGTTCTCTAATACACAATTCACTTCCAAAATTGGATATTGGAATTATCTCAGTGCCTGACCAGATTATTAGTAAAAATTCTAATTTTGGAAATAAACACAATGCTTATAAATAATTCCTAAATAAATACACAAATGTATGTCAAAAAGATGATGAATCTTAAAAGAAATGATAGTACATATAATAAGTATATCACAAGCCAGTTTGCACTAATGATTTTTTTTATTTTCAGTTGGCAGATATCCCTGTTACAATCTGTACATATCCATTTGTATTTGATGCCCAAGCAAAAACTACTCTTTTACAGACAGATGCAGTCTTACAGATGCAGGTAAAATATTATGTAAACAAATCTGATTTTGGAGTATTTAGTTGCTTTGATGTCTTACCAAGTAAATATTTGAAATTTGCTTGTATTTAGTAATCTTGGGGTATATTTTATACCTTTGGTTCTGTCTTACAAAAGACCTTTGTCATCTATCAAAAAGACTGTTGTATATAGCATAAATATTCTTATGAGGGCTACTTACATATATGTTTGAGTGAATATAGAATAATTTAACTTTTAACAAGTTTAAACATTATATTCATTACATAAATATACTTTCTTTATAAATAGTTTTGCTAGTTTATATGATAAAATGTTACTTTCTTTCAAATATATTTTTTTAAAGATTTATTTATGCATTCAAGAACTGGGGTACAGGCCAGAGGTGCGGCGGGGCGGGGGGAGGTTTCATCAGAAACAGAGTGGGGAGCAGAACAAGCAGATGAACTGAAATATATTACTGAGGGGAGCAGCGGGTGGGCCAGGAGAGATCTGCCACACCATGTGGGTCACCTTCCTGGCCAAAGGTCACACTTGTGCTTCAGTGGCTGTGGATAGCTTTATAGTGCTGTGCTTTAACCTGTTGCACCACCAGGGAGGGTCCCAAGTCTTTTTTTTTTAATCTTTCACTTTTTTTTTCCACTGAAGATACAAATAACATTTACTTTTGTTTATAACCTTGCTAAATTTTGACAGTATAGAATTTATCCCTCAGGTGTGGCCACTTAGTTCTCCCATCACCAAAGCACTCATAGTCTATTACAATAGTCCCTTCTGTTTTCCCCTCATCCTTTTTCACCCCTCCTACTCTTCATCTCCTCCACTCTTTCTGGATTGCTTCAGATCTATGGTCAGGTCTCAAGATTTGTCTTTGTCTGACCTTTGGTTTCATTTCTTTGTTTTCCACCTGTAAGTGAAACCATTTAGCATTTATCTTTCTTCTTCTGACTTAGCATAGTACCTTCCAGAACGATCCATTTTGCCAGAGAAGGCATGAGGTTATCTTTTTTTTGCTGGATAATATTCCATTGTTTGTGTGTGTGTGTGTGTGTGTGTGTGTATGTGTATATTTTTGATCCATTCATCTGTTTGGGGACATTTAGGTTTCGATCTCGCTTCATTATGTATTTCCTATTTATATACTTTGTGAAAGATGAACTAGACTAGAAGTGAGATGAATTAAAGTAGGAGGAATTAAAGTAGGATGAATTAAAGTAGGAGGAATTTCACCAGTTGTTAGAAGATGAATATAACATTTTCTTGATATTATAATGTCTATTTTCTTGTGGTTGATGATCTCTTTCCTCCTTTCTTTCCCATCTTCCTCTATTTTATGCTAAACACTTTATTTACAATGAAGATTTTTTAAAAAGATTTATTTATTTGTGCATACAGAATTGGGGTACAGGCCAGAGGTGCAGGGGCGATGAGAGGATTCACCAGCGACAGAACAGGCAGAACGAGGAAGTATACTGCTGAGGGGAGCAGAGGGTGGGGCAGGTCAGGAGTGGTCTGCCGCTCCATGTGGGTCACCTCTGGGGCGGGGATTGAACTCATGCTGAAGTGACTTTAGCTTCTTAGTGTTGTGCTTTAATCCGCTGCGCCACCAGGAGGGCCCTACAATGAAGATTTTTAAAGCTATTTAACATTATGTCTTTGAAGGGTTATATTGAATAGTACATTTGCTTTATAACTTGAACTTTTAAATAGTGAAGTTTTCAGCTACTTCCTCTGGCTTAGAATATGTGACTATACAGGTTGAGGATGAAGAAAAGAATGAGATGAGACCTGGGAATTAAATGTTCTAAAATGCCTTAAAAATTAAAACGCTTCTAGTTTTTTTTTTTTTTTAGATTTATTTATTTGTACATACAGAACTGGGGTACAGGCCAGAGACTCAGGGACAGTGAGAGACTTCACCAGAGACAGAGTGGGGAGCAGAACAGGCAGATCAACGAAGTACACTGCTGAGGGGAGCAGCGGGCGGGTCAGGAGAGGTCTGCCACACCATGTGGTCTCCTCCAGGGCAGGCGGGAATCGAACTCATGCGGAAGTAGCTTTAGCTTCTCAGTTTAGTGCTTTAACCCGCTGCGCCACCAGGGAGGGCCAAAAAACGCTTCTAGTTTTAATAGCTATTTCCATCCCTTTAAAGTAAATGCATTTGATATTCTGAATCAATCCAGGTATTTTAATAATACCAGGGAATTTTAGTGATAGATATCCCTTTAACATCAATAGAAAAATATTTTTGTAGGTTCTACAGCTAGTAATCCATTTTTTTTTTGGCAGCCTCTGTTAAAACAGTATTAATCACTATTGTTGAATAAGAACATGATGGGTGTGGGGGCATAAGAAGAGTTTAAATGCTGAAAGCCAAATGCTTGGTTTGTGAGCACATTCAGTGATCCTTCTATTAGATAAATTTCTATAATACTTATTTATCCTGTCACTTACTCATTTATCGGTTTGTTTTAATGGGATTTTCTTTTTTTCCTTACTGCCAATCCCAGTTATTTATTTATTTTTGAAATAATAGTACCCAGATTTATCATTATAGTTACATTTATTTAACTTAATGGTGCTATTCATTATATATTGATATAAAAAATTTAGGGTACTCTTTATGCTTACGATGCAGTTTAAGCTCTTACGCTATCCTACGTACTGTATTTAGGTGTTATGAATCCAGTAGTATAGGAACAATTATAGGAACTATAGAATATCTGTAGTTGGTAAGTACAAGTTATCCAGTCACTATAGTGTCTTTATAGCATTACTAATGAATATCTTTTGTTTTCTAGATGGCTATTGACCAGGCCCACAGACAGAATGTCTCCTCTCTTTTTCTCCCAGTGATTGAATCTGTGAATCCCTGCTTAATTCTAGTGGTGCGTAGAGAAAATATTGTAGGAGATGCGATGGAAGTTCTTAGGAAAACAAAAAATATAGATTATAAAAAGCCCCTCAAGGTAATTTGACATTTTCTATTGTATAAATTTTTTCCAGATACTATTTTTAGTGTTTTCTTATTTGGTTTTGGCATACCTTTGAAACTTATAAATAAAATTATATACTTCAATTATTTTAAACTATTAGTTCCTAAACACTTTTTTATAATAAACAGCATGTTACAGGGTCTCCAGAATATACTTTCATTCCTTACATTCATTACACTTTATGTTATTTCAGGTTATATTTGTTGGAGAAGATGCTGTTGATGCAGGAGGGGTACGCAAAGAATTTTTCTTGCTCATCATGAGGGAATTACTGGATCCTAAATATGGCATGTTTAGGTATTATGAAGATTCCAGGCTCATTTGGTTTTCTGATAAGGTAAAAAGTTCAGTGATCTAAATTACTTTCATATAACACCTATTTATGTGTGTATATGTGTATATATCAATGTTTATATTATATTGGATAAACTGTAATTCAGAGCCATCAAAACACTCATTCAAATTAGCAAAATAAATTAAGGGATGATCAGCCTGAAATGTTTTTTTGTTTGCTTCTCATATTTAAACATTTTTTAACTTAATGTATTAAAAAATGGCCATAGAACACTTTAAAGTTGGTATGAATTTCATGTCAAAAGTAAAGCTTAAATTCCAACAAAAAATGTAAAAGCATGGATACAGATTTAGAACTTTAATAAAAGTAAAACTCAGTCTTACTGATTCTTGAGACACATATTATCCATAATAGATATTACCAATTACTTTAATGATAAAATGAAGTTTATTTTGTACTCATTTGTGGATTCTAGAGTTCAAAGAACAAGCAAAGAAACATTCTCTGAAATTAAAACATGAATTTCTGAAAACATGGCAGTTTTTCTAAAATCTCCTATTCTAATTTAGCTTCTCATCTGTCTGTTCTTGTCTTCAAACAAAGTTAAACATTTTTTATATGAACACTTAGTTTTGACTGATTATACACATCAGAAATTACATAAGAAAAAAACATTAACAAAAGGCAAGACAATTAAATGATATACATGTATCTGATTTTGAATAACATTCACTACAATATCCCTATGAGCAGCAAATCTTTAAGAGTAAGTACTCTTTGATCTTAGGTGTTGTTGATTGATCCTCATCCTTTCTTCACTTACAGCTTAGAGAAGCTCTCATTGAGTGAAAGCTTAGTCTGTGGAGGAAAGAAAAGCTGGTTACCCATTGCTTGAAAGTTGAATTTCAGGTATATTCCTCTGGGCTGGTGCAGAGACTTCTTGGTCATAATATATTTAGTTTATAGGAATAAAGCTGTAACTTGTATCATATATCTTTCATGTCCCTGATCATTTCATTAGAATTGAGATTATTTTTCAGTACTGTTCTTTGGTTCATGTTCGTTTGATTACTGTGTTTCTGGAAGTGTTCATTTCTCTCTTTTTTTCATTGTAAAAGGCCTGTCAAATGCAGGCTCGATATTAGATGATCCCACTTTTAGGATCTTTGATTTCTCCCTGTTTGATCTTGATTTAGCTTTGATTTACGATGAGGCTTTCTTATTGGAAATCAGGCATCTCCGACAGGTAATGCTGACTCTCTGATAAAATAGGAATTCTCTCTGAATGAACATGACCTCAGACTGATCATGAGGTATCACTGACGAGCCATGAGATCTTTTTGTGTGGCCATGAGAGCTCTCTGATGGGACATAAGATTTCTCCTAATGGTTTTGATTTTCTTCCCAGCTGACCCTGAGATTCATCTAGTTGTTGCTGGTTCCACATTTACTGATCTTTGTATTTCGGTGCTTAAGCCTTACAAGCATCATTGCATTTTTCCTGCTTATTTAAAAGATTTAAAGGAGTTCATTCAGGTTTAAGTCTAGAAGATTCTTGGTATAGGTTTTTTTTTTTTTTTTTTTTTTTTTAAACCATGATTTCTTTCTCTACCCTTGTTTCTACTGGTGATGCTTATGAGCATTTGATTCCTATCTTGAAACTGACTTTTTTACCTTAAGGTTTTGTCTCCTCTATTACTTCCTCAGTGCTTGTGTGATCTATCTGTGTAAGGATTCTGATGTCATCTAGAGACAGATCTATAATGGTGATCTTCCCCCACATTGTTAAGGTCTTTCCAGAAAATGTTACACTGGGGAGAGTAACTGCACACACTCTGAGGAAGACTGGAGTAGCATTCCCTCACAGCTTTCTAGAGTACTGACTTGAAAATGATGTTGACTGTTTCTTCTGTTGATTTAGATTTTGGAATTAAAGAGTAATCAGGAAGCTTGTTTTCTTCTGGGAAGAATTAATTTTCAATTAAGAAGATTGATTCTCCCCCCCATCCCTTAGCATTTAGAGCAGAAGTAACTACTCAAAAACAAACAGTATGAATTAAGTTCTCCCCACCATGTTTTTGTAAATAAAGTCATGCTCTCTGATTTACCTATTTCCAAGATTGCTTTCTAGATACAGCTGACAGGGACAGAGTTGAATGGTTAGGTTACGACAGAAACTGTAAGGCCAAAAACCTTACTATATTTAGCTTCTGTCTTTTTACAGAAGATTGCTAGCTCTGATTTAGAAACTAAGTGAAATGGATGATTCGGCTTATAACTCTGAGCATTCTGTAATTTAAATATAATATTTGCATTTTTTTCTAAAAACCTTGATGTACTTTTTAATTCATTCTTCCAGGAGGTTCACTGTCTTTCTTTGTGATGTTGCCAATCATTAATGATCAGTGCCTTGGTTCATTAATTTATTAGGAATTACACGGTGGTGCTATTGTAACATTTCTTTCTCGTTTTATTAACTTGGGTACTTCTCCAGAGAAATTTCTCCATTTTCTCAGTTTTACAATTCTTTTGGGAAAGGATTTTCTCTTAAGTTAGCTGCTTTTGCAAAAGGATGACTGTTCGCTAGCATACTGAATTGATCGAAATTCATTTTTTTTGCTTTGTTTTCAAATATTAATATTCATGGATTTAAACATATTTGATGTTTTTCAATCCATTGCAGTTACTATCTCTTTTATTGATGGGCATATCATCTCATTTTGGTCCAGGGAGAGCTCTTTAGGTTGTCATCTGAGTCCTTTTGATACAACCTTAGAATTCTCTTGCTGTCTTCTTTGACACCTAATGTAATTGACAGATTAAAATGTTCTATACTTAGACATTTACTGCCTAACAGTGCTAACGGTAACACTAGTATTACAATAATTAAACATATTTAAAAAAATCATTCTGCCATTTTTTTGTAATCCAGCATTACACAGGAAACACAAATAATACTGTTAATATTAGTTGAAATAATTATACTATCAGATGGACTTAATATATTTAGGTTAAACTTTTAAATTTACTTTTTAAAGGATTGATTATTAAAATTCAATTTAGTTTTATAGTTATGTAAAATAGTTGCATAATTCCAAGTCAAATCTATAAAATCAGAGGTTCTAAAAAGAAGCCTTACCTCTCCACCTTATCCCACCCACCATAGCTGAGCATTTAAAAAGAAACATTACAGTTTATCCTTTTTCAAAAAAATGAATATAAGTACATAAATAGCAGTACATTACATATGTAATATCATAGCAGTACATTTCATATGGTAAGAGTGGACATGCTGCTTTTGTCCCTGATTTGATTGGGATGTTAGCTATGGTTTTTTTTTAAAGATTTATTTATTTACTCATACAGAACTGGGGTACAAGCCAGAGATGCAGTGGGTGAGAGGATTCACCAGAGACAGAGTGGGGAGCAGAACAGCAGATCGACGAAGTACACTGCTGAGGGGAGCAGCGGGCGGGCCAGGAGAGGTCTGCCACGCCATGTGGGTCACCTCCGGAGCAGGCGGGGATCGAACTCATGCGGAAGTGGCTTTAGCTTCTTAGTGCTATGCTTTAACCTGCTGTGCCACCAGGGAGGGCCCATCTATGTTTTTTTTTTATGTTATAAATTCTTTTTATCATGTTAAGGGAGTTCCTTCTACTACTAATTTGTTCAAAATAATTATCATGAAAAAATGTTGGATTTTTTCAAATACTTTTTCTGCATTAATTGAGAAGATCATGTAATTTTCTTCTACCAATGTGGTATATTAGATTGGTTGATTTTCCTTTGCTGATTACCTTACATTCTGGGATAAAACCCACTGGGTTATGATGTATAATTTTTTTCAATATGCCACTAGATTCAGTTTACTAGTATTCTATTGGTGATTGTCCATCTGCTTTTACAAGGGATAGTAGTCTGTAGTTTCCTTTTATGTGTTTGTGTGTATCTTAATTTAACTTTGGTATCATGATTGTGCTAACTTCATATTGTAGCTGGATTCCCATTCTCCCCAAACCAATCTGTAGCTTAAATTTGTGTTAGGAAAGTAGAACTAAACAGAATTATGTACTAAACACTCCGTTAACTAATTGTATACTAAGCACTGTTTATCTCTTCTCTGTCTCCCCCCTTTTTTTGTCCCCCCCACTTCACCCCAACCTTCTTTGTGATTTGTTATCTATTTGCATTCCCAGGAACCTTGAGAACTAAATGTGTTAATATTACTAACAAAATTCTCTGTGCTACTCCAAAGTTGATAACACCAGGGCAAGTATCTGTTGGGCTGTTATCTCCAAAGAAGCACAATCTTTTGACAGTGTAACTCATGAGCCTATTCTACCCAGGGCCTCCTTAACCCTGAGAATTCAAAGCCCCCTCATCCTACCATTTCTGGGGAAGCTTCTTTTAGGGTTACTCTGCAGAATTCCTTGGTGGAATATATTCATGTAATAAACTCCTGTGTGAAAAGAATTACTCTTGGTTAAGAGTCTTGATGTTTTTAGTGGCAAGTGAGATATTTGGTCTTTTACAATAAAATGAATTAGAAGTTTGTCCTTTCTCTTCCAAATCTTAGAAGACTTTGTAAGGATTTGGTATTAAATGTTCTTTAAATGAATCTGGCCCTAGTCTTTTCTTTTTTGGAGCATTTTTGATAATTTCTTCAGGCTCTCTGTTACTAGGTTTTTTTTTTTTTTTTCTTTCAGATTTTCTGGTTCTATTGTCAGTTTGGTACTTTTTTTTTTTTTCTAATACTGTTTCATTCTCTAGATTATTTTGTCGGCATGCAACTGTTTATAGTGTTCTTTATAATCCTTTTATTTCTGTGAAGTCATTCTGTTCCCACTTTAAGTTATAATTTAATAATTTGAGGATTCCCTGTTTTTCTTAGTCATTCTAACTAAAGTCTTGCCAATTTTGTTGCTTTTTAAAAAGAATTAATTTTAGTTTTGTTACTTTTGCATATTGTTTTTTCATTCTATGTATAGTTCTTTTAGTTACTTTAATTCTGTAATTTCCTTCCTTCTAATAGCTTTTGGTTTAGTGTTCCCTTTTTGTAATTATCTAGAATTAAAGTTAGTTTGTTTATTTGAGATTTGCTCCTTTAATACGCTTCTTTTCCTACATCCCATCAACTTTTATATGTTGTATTTTCATTAGTCTGTAATTTTTATGATTTCCCTGGTGATAATCTTTTTTGACCCCATTAATTTTAGAGTATTCCCATGTTTGTGGATTTCTCACATTACCTTTCATTGTTGATTTCTATTATCATTCTCTCACAAACTAAGAAGATATTTTTAGTGATTTTAGTCTTTTAAAATTCTTTTGAGACTAATTTTGTGACTCCTAATATACATTCTGTCCTGTAAATTATTCCACAGACACATGAGAAGATTGTGTATTCTGCTTTTGCTAGATGGTGTGTTCTATATTTGTTAGTTCTATTTTTGGTTTGTAGTGTTTTTTAAGTCCTCTGTTTCCTTATTGATCTTCTGATTGTTCTATCCATTCCTAGAAATGAAGTATTAAAATTTTCAGTTATTATTTTAAAATTGTATTTCTTCCTTCAATTCTTTGTTTTTGCTTTGTATAGTAGGAAGCTCTGTTAGGTTTGTAAATATTATATCATTTGGTGAGTTTACATTTTTATCCATATGTCTTTTTGGGCATCTTGTAACAACTTTTGACTTTAAAGTCTCTTGTCTGATATTAGTATAGCTTTTTTCTTTTGACTATTATTTACATGGAATACCTTTCATAAACTTTCAATCTGTTTGTAAAGCTTATAAATAGTTTATAATTAGATAATAGTTCTGCTAATCTACCTCTTAGTGTTAAATTAATTTCATTTACATTTATAGTTATTACTGATAAGGAAGCATTTCTGTCATTTTGCTAAATGTTTTCCATATGGTTTATATCTTTGCTTTTCCATTCCTCCATTTTTGTGTTTAATTTTTTCCTTGTATTTTGTTTTGAGTCCCTTCTCATTTTTCTCTTCTGAAAATATTTGTTATTTTCTTAGTAGTTACTTTGAGAGTGACAATTAATATATTAAGCATGTAGCAATGTACTTTGAATTAATACTAACTTCAATAGAATACAGAAACTTTCTTCCTAGAACAGTTATCTTGAACTTTATTGCCCTTGCAAGTTATAGCATACACATATATGTGCTCATTAATGTGGATACACTTTATGCATTTGTCTTTTAAACCAGATAGAGGGAACAAGAAGAGTTAACAAAGTTAAAAATATGATATTGACTAATATTAATATTAACTTAGCATTTTGGGGGGCAGAGTGTAAGGAAAGATCTAGAAGCAACAGATTTTCTCAGTCTTTTTTTCCCTTAAGATTTTCTGCAGATAGAATTCTTTCTGAAGTGTTTTTTTCATTCTGTTCTCTGTCATCCTACTGCCTTTTACAGTGCAGGTTTTGATTGGACATCAACTGTTAACTTTATTGATGAGTTGCTTCTCTTTTGCAGCTTTCAGTAGTCCCTTTGTATTTGACCCAATACTGATAATCAGATACATGGATGTGGATTTTGAGTTTGCCATCCTTGTAGTCTGTTGAATGTTCAGTTTTCTTTTTCCGTTTTTTTGGAAGAATATGGTATTTATTTCAAGAATATTTGGCAGGTTATATGTTAAATGGAATTTTGAATATCATTATTTCTATGAGAAAATACATTCAAAGTCTGGAATACAAATTATGCAGAATTTGGAATGCTTCAAATACAGAGTATAAAACTGTTATATTGTCTGTATAGGGAGCAAGTATGCAAATTCATATTTTTCTAATATTGTTTACTGAGTTAGAATGTAAAATGAAACATACAATGGAATGTAACTTTTTTTAAAAAATAATACAATAGCTTATTTTTACATCATTTTGTGCATTTTTCCATCTCAGTTGTAATCCCCATGGGCTTCCCATCACCAAATCACCCGTGTGCTATCACCATAATCAGCTCATTTTCCTCCCCACACTGTTTTTGATCCCATTCCCCCCTCACCCCCATAAAATGTTTCTGGTATAGAGCTGTTCATTATTATTATTATTATTTTCTCGCCTGGTCCGCTGTACTCCTGCTATGAGCGAAACCATCCAGTATTTTTCCTTTTCTTTCTGGCTTATTTCACTAAGCATGAACAGATATATAGTTTTTATGTCTTATCAAATCTGGGATGTGTGCAGTCATTTGTTCAGATGGTCTTTCCTTTTTCTCTCTTTCCTGATATACTTGTTTCCCACAGACCCTTGGGCTGTATTCATGCATCTTCATTCTTTTTTTTTTTTAAACAAGTATTTATTTACTCATACAGAACTGGGGTACAGACCAGAGGTACAGGGGCGGTGAGAGGATTCACCAGAAACAGAGTGAGGAGCTGAACAGGCAGATCAATGATGCACATTGGTGAGGGGAGCAGAGAGTGGGTCAGGAGAGGTCTGCCACACTATGTGAGCCGGTGATTGAACTCGTGCTGAAGTGGCTTTAGTTTCTTAGTGTTGTGCTTTAACCCTCTGCGCCTCGAGGAATGGCCCCATCTTCATTCTTGTTTTTATGTGCTTCCTCCGTGTGCATAATCTCAGTTGAACTGCTTTTAAGTATACAGTTCTCTTTTCTACCTATTTAAAAGTTGATTGGAAGTTTTTATCTAATAAATCCATTGTCTGGGACTTTTCACAAACAGTGTTTGTTTTTTTTTTTTTTTTTTTTTTTTGTGACCTCTTGTGAAAGGGCCTTCTGTTTGACATAGGTTTTGTTTTTGTTTGTCTCCCATTGTGTGTACCTTAATCCCCCAGGCTTCTTTTGCTTCTTTCTTTCTTATCTTCTTTCCTGTAGTCACTAGCTGTTTATTTACAATTAAGAATATGACACTGGAAAACTATGTTTGTACTTTATGTGTATGGCAACACACATTTATGGTTTAAAGACTCCATTTATTCAATTGAGTGATTAGAATGGAGGCTTTTTGAGGCAGAACCCTAAATGTCAACACATCCTTTGGATTTTTTTTAAACTTTTTTTTTTAAGATTTATTTATTTATTCATACAGAACTGGGGTACAGGTCAGAGGTGCAGAAGCAGTGAGAGGTTTCACCAGAGACAGAGCAGGGAGCAGAACAGGCAGATCGACAAACTACACTGCTGAGGGGAGCAGCAGACAGGTCAGGAGAGGTCTGCGGCACCATGTGGGTCACCTCTGGGCAGGTGGGGATCAAACTCATGCTGAAGTAGCTTTAGTTTCTTAGTGCTGTGCTTTAACCTGCTGTGCCATCAGAGAGGGCCTATCCTTTGGAGTTTAAAGGAAGGTTGTAGCACACTGGCTGTTAGTGTATTAGTTGTATTCTGTACACTGTTAAAGGGAAAATAGGATTCTCATTGTTAAACGTATAGACCTTCATTTGATTGCCTTTAATGTTAATGCAGTATTATTACAATTAGTTTTCTCAGATTCCAGTAATTTTTTGTTCATCCTCTTCAGAAAGGCAAGACTTTACACCAACATCCTCATTTTATCCTCATTCTGATTGCTCTTTCAGAGACTTATGTTTTACCAACTAAACTAGTTTAGAAAGATTGATTAGTATTTCTAGTTCCTGAAATTGCAGCACAAACTAACTTGTCTGTCATTGACTTTCTTCCTACAACCTCCTTTCTCAATATTTTCCTGTTTTACTGAACCATTTACTAGTCACCCCTCTACTTTTCATATTTTGAAATAATGCTTTAGTGTTATAAAACACCTCCCCCATTATCTTTTTTTTTTTTTTTGGTATGGGTTTGTACTATTTTTATTCCAGTATTCTCCAGATTAAGAAATACTCTCTAAACTTAAACACAATGTAGGATATCATGAAGGAAAGAGATTAACTTGAACATATTGGGAAAATATGCTACTTATTTATAATGAAAACAAAATTAAGAAGTATATGACAGTGTCTTATAGTCTTATAACAACCAAATACTAACTTGATCTTTGAAAATACTTAATCTAATGACTAAGCCAGGTTTAGAACCTCAGATGTAATAAAAAATGTTTTTCTTAAATCTCCTACAACCATATGTTAGGTCTTGAAAGGTGGGGAAATAATGCTTTGATAATCAGGGTGAGTGGAACATGTGCACATATGGAGGAACAAAACAAACAAAAACCCAAAATTAAAATTAAAAATTAAATTTAACAAACAAAATGTTTTCAATAATCCAAATATAGCGATCTAGCTAATTTAGCAAACCATGATGTTTTTATATAATGTAAACTGCAAATACTAAAACTCATTTTGTGGGAGAATATTTAATGACATAAAAATACTGTTACAATTAGAAAAATGAGAAAGTTATAAATATATTTTTAAATTATTCTTTCTGAACTGATGATACTTAGAAATGCATAATAAAGTATTTTTACATTGTTTTTCAGTGATTGTTTATTTTTAATTGTTTTTCAGTGATTGCTTATTCATCTTTTTTATGCTTTTTCTTTATTTTCCAAATTTTAAATATATATTATTTTTCAACTCAGAAAATAGCTCTAGGAATTATTTTGTTTATTAATTGAATGGTTAATAATGTAGAATTGCTTATGTTTTTTGGGGAAAGCCAGTCGTGAATTTTTATGTATAGTATAAATTCAGTTGGCTTTTAATTTTAAATTTAGAAAAGACATTGAAAGGAAATATGCAAAAATTCTAGCAATAATATTTGCCCAATGAGATTTTAATGGAGTTGCACATTTTTCTTGTTATTTATTATTCATGCTCATGAATGAAATAGAACTTTTCAAATTTCAAAGATTTCTATTTTCAAAATAGAAAATTAAAAATTTTCTACTATAGGTACTTTTTTTTTCTAATTAGAAAAGAGCCAATGTTTTAACTTGAATGGCAAGTCTTCACTTTTTTCTTTTCCTTTATATTTCTAGACATTTGAAGACAGTGATCTGTTCCACTTGATTGGTGTTATCTGTGGATTAGCAATTTATAATTTTACTATTGTAGACCTTCATTTTCCTTTGGCATTATATAAGAAACTGCTGAAAAAGAAGCCATCCTTGGATGATTTGAAAGAACTAGTGCCTGATGTTGGGAGGTTAGTTGTAAAAATTGACAAGGGTGGAGCTTAGGAAATAGTAAATGGGGACTGAACAGAAAACTTTCCTTTTCATGATAATTTCATTTTGTTCTTTTTGAATCAATGAAAATTTAAAAAGCCCTTCTAATAAACAATAATCCCATTGTTGCTCAAATTCAAACATTTATAGTGAAAGGATTATAAGTATAAAGCCATTTGCTAAATTTTAGTGGCTTAGCAATACTTTGCAAATAGTAAATACTAAATTTAGGAAGATAGTATATCTTGTAAGTACTTAAATTACTTACTTGGATTTTTATTTCCGAACACCTTTATTTCTAGATGGAATATGTAAAATTTCTTTTTATTTATTATATAAAGTAAATGAAAGTTGTATATAAATAAGATCAAATGTTAAAAATAGTTGGCTATGTGGCTTTTGTATTCAGAAGAAGAGATAAAAATCTTATTTTATTCTCCATTATTGTTTATACATTTGCTATTATATACTTACCTTTCTAAAACATATATAAAAGTACATGTTAATGAAAGGATTTTATCAAGAATGAGAGATACTTATTAATAATCAAAGTAGTTAAAGTACCAATAATGTTTTACCTCAAAAGAACATATATATTCTGTTTTGCAGAAGTATGCAACAATTACTGGATTATCCCGAAGATGATATAGAGGAAACATTTTGTCTTAACTTTACGGTAAGATGGAGAGATGCTGGGTAGTCTAATTATTCATCATTTCTTTTATTTAACAGCTATACCTTGTGTTTTTTCTTTATTTTGATGGGTAGAATCCTTAAAGAACCTTTTAGCTAACATTTATTGAGCATTTATTATGTGCTAGTCACAGTACATGCACTATTTCATTTAATCCTCCTAACAAGCCTATTTCATAAAATTGGTATTATTTTTATTTTATAGATGATGAAAATTGAAAAAAATCATTATGAATTAGAGATAGTAGTTATATGAGTTCTGTGACTTCCAAGTCTATGTAATATATTACAATAAACATCTTCACAGTTGCAGGGGTTCTCTTTTTCAAATGTTGATTTGAAAATGCAGTTTTGAATTTGCAATTATAGTAATTTTAGAAAAGCAGACGGTTATTGTAACATGAGAATATTCACTAAAAAACTGACCGCTTAAAATAAATTCCCACTCAGGCATCCCTTTCTGCTTCACACTAATGTTTGTCCTTGCTCATCTCATCTTACTGAGTGTTAGACATAAAATCATAATACATTGGAGTAGTATTTGGAAAGTAAAGTTGCAGATGCTGAGTTTTGTTATTTCAGTGAAAGGTGTTGAATAAATGATTCAGTCACATGCAAATCTATTGGTAAATTAAGAATGTGGCAAAAGTAGACTATTTAACAGTTGACGGGAAAAATCATTAAGGATTATAAATCACTTTGGAAGGGAATAACATTTGAATATTATAAAGTAGGCCTTGGGAAAATGAAAAATCTTCATTTTTTTTTAAAAAACTTTATTTACTTTCAACCTAAAACACTCCTTTTTTTTTTTTTTT